CGCCACCGGGCCGGCCCGAATACTACAAAATTTTAAAAATTACCTTAATGGTTCACATTACATTTCTGTTGAACAGTGCTGCCCTAGATCCGGGAAGTTTTGACCCTTATCTATTGACAAGGACACACTGCCTAAGCATTTTCAAATCTAAGTGTTTTAATCAGAATTATACCAACTTCAGTGAGTTTTTAGGGAAAATACATTTATTAGAACAAACTCTACTTAATCAACTTAATTCTTTGATCAATTTTCTATTTAGCAGAATTAAACCATTTCCTTTATTTTCTATTTTCATTTTAAATTATTTTCATTGAGATCAGTTCTTTCTTCCAATAATTTTACGAAGAAAATTTCATTTATTTATCAGGGCTTTTGGTCTTTTTTTTATGTTTTCTGTTACTGTGAGCATTCTTTTGTGGACATGATTTTAACCACATGCAATTTTCCCAGGTCAAATTTTGCATATCAAAAATGTACTGGGTACAGTTTTATCCATTGATACTTACATGCTGTGCAAATCAGTTCTCCCAGTAATACTCATTTTAAATTGGATAAAAGACCAACAGTCTATATTAATTTTTAAATCTATCCATGAGAAAATTGTGAGTTCTTCTCCAATAATGCAGGATAGTTCTATTGTCCAGGATTGCTTAACTGTATTGCTTGTCCAATTTCTCCATGTCTTCTGATCACATGGTACATTTGGTGAGGCAAAAAGCAAAGGGAAGGTCAAAATATCCTTAAGGAAATATAGTTATTCTTTTAGGTGTAATAATGGAATTGCGATTATGTTTTTTAAAAGAGCTATTTTTCTTTTAGAGTAACACACTAAACAATTAATAGGTGAAGTAATGTGATAACTAGCATGTGCTTCAAAATAACATGGAAGGGGAAAATGGGTGGGAGTATACATGAAACAAGATTAGCTATAGTTCATAATTGTCAAACCTGGTAATGGGTACATGAGGGTTCATGACTTCATTCTGCCTACTTTTTTTATATATTTGAAAATTTCCATAATATTAAGATAAAATGATAGCACAATATTTTTTTTTTAAGTCCTTAAGATCACAAGGCAGGGTCAAAGCGTGATTTTTTTTTTCTTGTCCTTACCTTCATTCACAGCTACAAAAATGAAAATGCAAACTCCCTAATATGTTCTCTTTTTTTTTTTTTTGTCCTTTTTTGAGACCGGCCGCACCGCGCTCAGCCAGTGAGCGCTGTGAGTGCACTGGTCATCCCTATATAGGATCCGAACCCGCGGCGGGAGTGCTGCTGTGCTCCCAGCGCCACACTCTCCCGAGTGCGCCACAGGCTCGGCCCCCTAATATGTTCTTAAGGCCTTGCACCATCTGATTCCTAACTGTCTTTCTGATCTTGTTTCCTACTACTTTTCTTTGCTGGGCTATTCAAGGAATATAATGTGGTGTCTTCTGGAGCACTGCAGGCAGGAGGTCTCCTTCTTCACTTCATTCCATATGACTAGAGTGCCTTTCATTTCCTTGGACACAGCAAATACTTTCCTGCTTCAGGGCCTTTGCACTTGCTGTTCCATGGTCTAGAACATTGTGGCTACTGAAATCTCAGTTTAAATATCATTCTTCAGAAATGTCTTCTCTGACTACTCTCACTAATGTAGTCTGATGGAGTTTGGATGTGTTTGTCCTCCCAGAACTCATGTGGAAATCTGATCCCCAACGTGGCAGTTGTTGGAAGCTGTCTGAGTCATGGGGCAGATCCCTCATGTATGGATTAATGCTCTGGGGCGAGGGGGTAGTGAGTGAGTTCTAGTTGTATTAGTTCCCACAAGAGCTGGTTGTTTAAAAGACTCTGGCACCCTCCCCCCATCCTGCTTCCTCGCACCATGTCATCCTCTTGTACCCAATGGCTGTCTGCCTGCCGCTTTCTGCCATGAGTAGAAGCAGCCTGAGGCCTGCACCAGATACAGCTGTCCCAGAATTGTGAGCCAAATAAATTACCCAGTCTCAGATATTCTGTTATAACAACACAAAACAGACTAATACATTGTTCTTCCTATTTTTCTCCATTTCAATACAGTCTGTTGCCTTCACAGCTTTGTCACCATTTTTCTCTTTTCTGTGTCTTCTACCAGAATATAAACTCTATGAGCTCAGGGATTCTGTTTGTCTTGTTCATTGTGTATACTAAGCACCCAGCACAGGATCTGGCATGCAGAAGGCTCTCAATAAATATTTGTTGAATGAATGAATTCAAATTCTAGCCATTTTTAAAAGTCCTGCTTTAAATCACCTCCTTCATAATGCCTGCTTTAAATCCTCCAGTTGAGAATTAATCTTTTATTCCACTAGGTACACAAAGCAGACATAAAGGGGAAGAAAGATTGTTACCCTTTGCCTGGTCTATGTGGTGACACCCTAAAGTAATTTGCTACATCCTTTTGCATTATGTTTTTTATATTAGCACTTTAAAAATTATTTTTCTATATATATATATTTTAAAGGTTTCAAATTACAAAGAGCTCCTTTTATATATTCCTTCTATGTCCAGGCTGAGAGTTTCATTCTGTTAATAGCCTTTAATTTGTTTCTATGGCCTCTCAATGTTCATGACACATGAGGATGTCATGATGCTGAGATGAAGAATGACTGGTCTAGTTGGATCTGCCCTCATTGACATGCTTTGGAGAAATGTAGGTGCACAAATTAATTAGCTAAAATCTCCGATTGTGAGTCCCTTGCCATGGTTCACCTTTAAACAGGACTTTTTATTGTATTTTTATTTATTTTTTTATTTTTAAAAGATGACCGGTAAGGGGATCTTAACCCTTGGCTTGGTGTTGTCAGCACCCCGCTCAGCCAGTGAGCGAACCGGCCATCCCTATATAGGATCTGAACCCGTGGCCCTGGTGTCATCAGCACCGCACTCTCCCGAGTGAGCCACGGGCCGGCCCTTA